ATGAGTGGAAAGAGTGCTGTGGGGTCGTGATGGGGTTGGGCCAATGTTGGTGGTCTGGAAGGATGTACCCGTGGGTGGACCTGTGCTGTGGGACTTGGTGGAGTGAGAAGCCGTGGAGACGGGGTGAGTGGTGAAAGGAGTTTGTGGCATGGGAGTGGATCTGGCAGGGGTTGTCTGAGAGGTACTCAGCAGTGTGCTCAGGCCCGTCGTAGGTTTTGGGGACCCTGGGTTCTCCACGTCTGTTGTGTCCTGTCCAGTCGGTGTCCCTGGGTTCCAATCGTGGGTGGAGGGTGCTGCGGGAAAAACAAGGGTCAGTCCTTCCCTCCTTTGCTCGCTTGCCAGGTGTGTGACCCACCATTTCCCACTTGTGACCTCTTTCTCCCTCAGCTTGCGGTTTGCGTCTAATGGCGAGGCTCCGTGGTGCTCGAGTGAGTATCCCGTCGGGGTCCCCTTTCCTCCTGCTTGGTGGCCTCTCTGTAGCCTAGGTGTCTTGTGTATTTAGTTGGCTTCCTGTTCTGGTGCTCTGCGTGGCACGTGCCCACTACACACTCAGGTGGACATGTTAGGTGCTTGTGTACCCCTGGCTTCCTTGGTGTGGGGTTTCTTCAGGGGATTTAGATGTTGTTGTCCTGCTTGCGGAGGAGAGCATGGTATTTTGCATCAAGTGTCTTGGGTTTCTGCTGTCCCCTCGGGGCTGGTCCTACCTGGGGTTGGGGCTGCTGGGGTAGATGGGCTCTCAGGAGCGGTGGCCATGAAGGTCAGAGAGGGGTGTGGTTAGCAAGGTGGCTCCGGGATGGCGTCTCGACAGGTCGCCTCTTTTGTGAAGGGAGCTTTCCCTGCCTGTCATGGGGGTGGTCGGGCTGGACATCGAGCCCATGTGCTGTTGCCCGTCTGCAGGGACACATGGGTGGGGCCTGCTTACTTTTGGGGGGCCCTGTGGAAGTTTCTGACGTGGCTGCAGTTGACCGTGACGCCGTGGTGTGCTCTGTGGACCGAGCTGTGGATTGCGTGGCTGTGCCTTGGGCGGGTGCTGTGGGCTGTGTCGTAGCCTGTGTCACTGTGGGTCCTACGGCCGTTGACCTGGGAGTGGCTGTGGGGGCCGGTGCTGATGTGGCCCGCGTGGTGACCGCGGAGGTGGTTCTGGGTGACTCTGTAGGGAATGGCCCAGAATATCCCTTCCAGCCCGACTGTACCCTCCCCACGTGCCCGGCTGAGTACCCGGCTCCTACCCCCACCCTGCCCCGGGAGCCTGGCCTGCTGGGCACACTAGACCCTCTCTCGAGGGGCGTGTGTCTGTCCCCAGGTGACACTCGTCCTTGTTCAGCCACCTTGATTACGGAGCTTCAGTGGCATTTCCAGTGACCACACACTCACTGGGACACTGGCAGCCCCTCTACCTGCCCATGGTAGCAGGACCCGATTCCCTCATGGTCCCTGGGCAGCCGGAAGGGGGTCCTGCTGTGTGGGGTGGGGCGGGTGGGCTGCATAGCGGGCTCGCATGTGCGGCCAGGGGCCTTCACCTGGCAGGTCCCACATGCTTTCCAGTGACACACAGTATTGGATAGCAAGGAATGGCGTCATCCTGTGACCAGCTTATCCTCAAAAAACCTTTCAGAGAAACCCAGCTCTGCTCCCAGGCACAGGGAGCTCTGTGCCTGAGAATATACACAGCAGAGAAGTGGGGCCCCACGCCCCACGCCCCACGGAGCCCTCTGGGATCCTGCATGTGTGCCCACCATGGCAGTGTGGGCCTTACCTCCAGAGGAGACTGTCACATCTGTCTGGGTGGCACCTGTCTGTACGGAGGAGGGTGCAGAGGCCGTGGCCCTGGGCGTGGCTGTGGCGGTGGGCGTGGCTGTGGCTGTGGGCGTGGCTGTGGCTGTGGGGGTGGGCGTGGGAGTGTGTGTGGGGGTG